GCCAAACCTGGGAAAATAAGCCCAGGAGAAGTAAATGCAGAAGAGAACCAGCATAGTAACCATCCAGCATCACCCGAAATAAAGAAATACCTTCATGACCTCATAGATGAATTTAAAACTGTACTTCTGATCCATGTGAGGCAAGATATAAAGAGATTAATTAAAGAAATGATAAGCTCCACCCAAGAGAACACAAATGGAAGAACGGAGGAAACCAGAAAAGAAAGAGAAACCTCTGATGAAGAATTTAAACATAACCTAGAATACATGAAACAGATCCAAAGAGATTACCAGGAAATGAAAAACTCCATTGAAAACTGGTAAAACGTCTTGACAGAAACTAAAGTTAGCCTTTTGAAATTTGAAGAGAGATTTATGATATATGATTATGAAAGAAAAGACCTCTTAAAATAACGAGGAACCAGAAAGAAACAATTCAAAAGTTAGAAGATGACAAAAGGATACATAACTTAAGAATAAAGCATGTGAGCAAGGAAGCAGGAGTAACCAAAAATGAACTACAAAGAATATTCACAGATATATTAAAGGAAAACTTCCCAAGCATAGGAAAATGAAATGATATCCAGATAAATGAGGCATACAGAACTCCAGCCACCTACAACCAAAGCAGATCTACACCCATATATATAATAATCAAGATTCCAGAAATCCACCAAAATAATAGAATACTAAAAGCAGCCAGGGAAAAGAAGCAGATTACCTACAATGGGAAAATTATCAAAATAACAACAGACTTATCAACATAAACTCTCAAATTGAGAAGAGCCTGGGGAGAAATTATCTAAGCCCTGAAAGAAAATAATTTGCAATCAAGATAGATGTATCCAGAAAAACTCTCTCTCAAAATTAATGGAGAAATAAGATGTTTCCAAGACAAGGAGGAACTGTGGGAGTTCATGGCCACCAATCCAACCCTACAGAGAGTGCTGAAGGACATTCCAGAGAGAGAGAGGAAGGGATACCAGGATTCCAGCAACAGTGGCAGAGAGGCCTCAAAGAATGGGGCAGACAGTGGAATGAGGGAGTAAGGTGGACAAATTATAGCAGTAAAGTGGAGTAGCAGACATGAGGCAGAGACAGTATGCTATAACCTTTAATATAGATAGCCTTGATACACTAAAATAAAAAAACAGGCAGGGCAGATTAGGAGACAGGCTCCATCAAGATGCTCTGAATGGGAAATACACTCAACCCGATAGAGGGCTAATAAACTAAAAGTCAAAGATGAGAAAGCAAAGCTATATGCAACAGGAAACCAGAGAGAAATAGGGACAACACATCTAGCAGCCACAGATAGATTGGAAAGTTATTACACTTTTGTGCAGTGTAGAACTACACAGCTGGAAGGAAGAAAAACCCTATTACTTTAGTGAGTAAAGGAGTACAGCTTAAGATCAAGCTCAGGGGTAGAAAGGTTCAGCAACACTCAGATAGACAACAGGCTGGCCCCCTAATCTAAAAACTAAAGAGGCTAGTGAGACCCAAAACATAGAAAGCATCCTGAGAAGGGGAAAGGTGAAAAATAGCCTAAAAAGAGAAGGCAGAGGTCATTGTTAATAGTGTATCAGGATTTAAAAGTCACAGTAGTCTCATTGCTCTGTTTAGTTTCAATTTATTTTGTTTTGGTCTGTCCACTTATATCAGATTTGAGGGCACAGACATCTAACCCAAAAAGAGCAGGTTATACTGTGGTAACTATCCTTAATTTCCTATTAACTTAAACTGAAACCCTGTGCTACTTACATTGTCTTACTCTTTTCTTATTTGAATCTGGTTGTTAGACCACGGTTTTGCCTTGGCTGATTTTATTTGAATTTGGTATGCTTGATAGTATCAAGTCTAAAAGTAGAGGCAACTACTCTGAAGGTAACAAGATATAAAAGATATCCATACTGGTTTTGATTATTAACCGCTCTCAAGTCCCACAATGTTTTCAAAGTTGTGTTTTTATAAAAATAGCTATGTAATACTATGCTTAACTATATTAAGCCTGATGATGTGGACAAGTCTATTGAAATAACAAGAGAAAACATAGTAACTATGGTAGATCACCTAATATTGTGGTCTTATTGTGTCTTTTCCATTGCATGTTTTTCTAGGAATTTGTTTTGCTGTCTTCTTATGATTTGTTTTTCCCTATAATACAGAAAGGATAGATATACATGTAGAAATTCACACATGGGAAGAATTTTTTAAACTGTTTACGGGAACAGATTATATAATGCAAGATGTAATGAACAGATACTCCAAAGAAGAAGAGACACTAAGAAACCCAATGCTAATTCTGTAGCATTATGATATAAAATCTAGCAATACTGTTATTCACTGTTCAGAGTGATATTAGTCTAGTCTCTTAAGTTCAATTTCAGTATACGTAAAGATAAGGACAGGTACTACAAAGAGAATGAGAGACACTATGGTAATCATTAGTGTCTTCCTCAATGTCAGATCTTGAAGACCTAAAAAGCCTTCATCATCCTGTAATGATTTGATTATTTCTATAATATGCAGTATGTATTCAATGTGCTTGAAGATGGGGACAACTATTTGGAAGAAAACTAGAGACAATAAGATAGACACTGAAGATCTCCAGTGGACTCGCTTTGAAATCTGTATTTCTTTAAATTGTTTCTTTTTGAACTGTTTTGTTCTGTTTTGATATGTTTAATCTTACCCTCTTTAAGATAAAAAAACAAATGTGTAGGACTGATAACCATATTACTAAGTTTTTGTTGGGTCATTGAGCAGAACTATTGGCAGTGTCATTATTTGAATGTCACTTTCATACTTTAATTTTGTAACCTGAACAACTATTTCTAAGATGACAAAATGTAACTTATCAACTGGTGATATCTTACTGTTTATTTTTCTGTAATTCTGTATTATTTCTACCCTTTTTCTCTATTTTTTATTTCTCTTTAAATAAAAAAAATTTTCCTATTAACTTAAACTGAAGCCCTGTATTACTTATACTGTCTTATTATGACTGATCTTATTTGAATCTGATTTGTTAGACTGCTGTTTTGTATTGACTAACTTTATTCAAATCTGTTGTGATAGTATCAAGTCTAAGAGTATAGGCAAATACTCTGAAGATGACAAGATTCACTAGAATGCCCACTCTGATTTGACTATTACCTTCTTTTGAAATTTTATAATGTTTCCAATGTTTTGTTTTTATTAATATTGTTATGTACTGCTATATTCAATTATATTACCCTTTTTGATATAGACAATTATATTGAAGATAACAAGAGTCATAGTAACCACTGTAGACCACCTTGTATTGTAGTTTTATATGTGTTTTTCAGTTCATGTTTTTCTAGGAATTTGTTTTGTTTTGTATTATTTTGTTTTGTTTTTCCTTCTAATACAAAAAGAATGAATATACATGTGGAGAGTCATGCATGCACAGAACTTCTAAACATTTTATGAGAAATGATTATAAAATGCACAATGAGATGAACAACTACTTTGAAGAAAAAGAGACACCAAGGTACCCAGTGCTGATTACATAGTGCCATGATGTGAAATCTAGAAATATTATTATTCTTTGTTCAGAGTGATTTTAGTCTGTTGTGGGTTTTTTTGTTTAATTTAACATACGTGAAGGTATGGACAACAATTTTGAAGAGAATGAGAGACAGTATGATACCCATTGACTCCCTTATTGTCTGGTCTTGAAGGCCTAACATGCCTTCATCATCCTGTTCTGATCAGCTTTATACTATGCTTTTTTTGTATGAATTCACAGTATGTGAAAATATGGACGACTATTTGGAAAAAGACAAGAGACTATAGGATAGATAGTGAGGATCTCCAGTTGTCTTGTTTTGAAATCTGTGTCTTTTACATTGTTTCCCTTTGTTCTTAAACTTTTTGTGTGTGTGGGGGGGGGTCTTTTTCCTTTTTATCGGTACCGGGAATCAAACTCACGACTGCCTGCTTGCAAGGCAGGCGCTTATGCCGCTGAGCTAAACCCCCAGCCCCTAGTTTCCCTATGTTCTGATTTGTTCTGTTTTGTTATATTTAATTTTACCCTCTTTAAAATAAAATTAAAAAAATAAGAACAGAAATTTGTCAGGGGTCAGTCTTGCAGTGGGAAGGCAAAACGGGGCGGCAGCCAGGTTGCCTGACTCCAGAGCTGATACTTCTCCCACTCTTTCCAAACTGCTCTTTCTGCCAAAGCTTTGCCCTTCCCTGGAAGCTTCCTATTATAAATATGATAGTGTAGATGGGTCAGTTTCAAGGCCATGTAACTTGTTATGGTTACCCACCATATTCTTACAATTATCTGCACTACTTGATTCTACCTAATTCCCAAATGATAGTATGTCTTTGGAAAACACAATTCACAATAAGAATATAGTATGTCATGACTTCTGGCTCACATTTTAAAACAGAAGTCTATGGAAGGACATTGTCTAACCTAAAACAATGATGTGTTAGTGCAAAACTCTTAAGCCCAAACTTATGAAAGTTTTATGAACATGGATTTTCTTGCATCTCTGACATCATTCCTTGTCTATTTTCTGGGAAAGATACAGATGCATGGCAGTTGTTAAAAGAAGAAGGAAGGGGGTAGGTTTAGTCCCAAAGTTGCTTGGTCACTCTGCAGGGCTAACAGAAGCCAGGTCAGGAATGACAATGCATTGGAAAGGAAATGATGTGCCTAATTTATTCATCATAATTTACATTTTATTTCTCTATGTGTCTTCTTTCTGGTCCTAGGCCAATGGCAGAGTTTTCAGATTTGCACTACAGTTTGCAGTTGTGCACTACACAACTTAAGCTGAATGTTGGATTTTAATACTAAGCTCTCAGAATGGGGGTTCTTTTTCCTAGTCTTGCTCTCCTTTACACCACAGGAATTCATCTCCTGGGTGCTTTTACTTTCTACCCATGGACCATTTCCTGCATGCACATACCTCTTCCTGAAGCTTTCAGGAACCCAGAAATCATATGAGCCAGAAACAAATGGAGCAGAAGGGGGTCTCTTTATTGAAAAGTGAAAGACAAAAGGCAGGCCCAGGCTTGGGTGTTCAGAATGGGTGGAAGGAGGGGCAGTATGGGAGAGGATAGTGATACCAATCGGTGAACCAGAGAGGAACCTGAAGGCCTGGGCCCAGGACTGGTGCAATCAGGACAAGATCCACCTGGTGAGAAAGAAGAGAATTAGAGATGTGACTCAGCATGTTGAAGCACTCAGACCTCTTGAGGAGGTAGGGGTATCCTCTCTGTACTTCTGGCTATGATGTCTCAGACTCCCCAGTCTCTCTGTGTGTCCAGAATCTCACCTCTGCCCACACTGAGATGGCTCTCCACCACTCAACCCTCTTTTGTGTGTGCAGGAGTCTCCTCTGCTTTCAGCTACTGCTTACCTCATTTGGGGTTCAAATGAGACCCTTCAGAGATCCTTGACCTTTAACTGAGAATCCTGATTGAACGGACTCTTGTCCCTTGATCCGAGCAAGGCCCTTCACAGAATCTTGACCTGACACAGAAAATCGTTCTTCCAGGAGATCGTGTCCCTTCATCTGCAGGCGACCTTTCACTGAGTCTTGACCTGTAACTGAGAATCGTTCTGCCAGGGTATCTTTTCCTTTCATCTGCAGGCGACCTTTCACAGAGTCTTGACCTGTAACGGAAAATCGTTCTGCGAGGGAACTCTGTCCTTTCATCTGCAGGCGACCTTTCACAGAGTCTTGACCTGTCATTGAGAATCTTTCTGAGAGGGAATCTTGTCCCTTCATCTGCAGGCGACTTTTCACAGAGTCTTGGCCTGTCATTGAGAATCGTTCTGCCAGGGTGTCTTGTCCCTTCATCTGCAGGCGACCTTTCACAGAGTCTTGGCCTGTAACGGAAAATCGTTCTGCGAGGGAACTCTGTCCTTTCATCTGCAGGTGACCTTTCACCAAATCTTGACCCTTCACTGAAAATCGCTCTTCTGAGGAAGCCTGTCCTTTCACCCAAAGGCTGTCTTTCACAGCATCCTGACCTTCAATGGCAGCTAGTGCTGCTATGGGATCTTGTCGTTTGAAACGAATGTGTCCCTTCTTCCGATGATCAACACTTGAAGCTGAGTCTGACTCTTCCACAGAATCATCATGGAACCGCTTGTGAGTTTTCTCAACCCGTTCGTGTCTAACTGAAACCCGTTCTCCCTCGGGCTCTTCAGCACTGTGCCGAATGTGGCTTTTCTCAAGATGTTCACGTCTGACTGAAACACGTTCTCCCTCGGGCTCTTCGACATTGTGCCGGATGTGACTCTTCTCAAGATGTTCACGTCTGACAGAAACGTGTTCTCCCTCAGGCTCTTCTACACTGCTCCGAATGTGTCCTTTCTCAAATTCTTCTTGTCTCAGTGAAACACGTTCTCCCACGGACTCTTCTCTGTCTGAACCACGACCTCCCTCAGCGGTTAGACCACTTCCTGAAACTGCTTCTTCCATATCTTGTGACTTGGCCCAAACACGACTAATCACAGGGTCTTGTGCTCCAGCAGAACCTGTTAAAGAAGAAACATGTCCACATTTGGACTCTTTCACTATTGTGTTATTCCTGTAGATCCACTCACTTCTCCCTGCAGTGTGCTCCCTACCTTGCCCAGAAGTGACTGGGTCTGTGATCCTGAATGGTTATTCCCTGCTGTCTCTGGGCAGGGCCTGGAGGACCACCATTTCCTAGACTGTGTTTCTTTCTTTGCCTTTTATTTTTTGTCTCTCTGGAGCTGGTTTGCATCTAGGCTACCACTCAGAAATAAGAAGGGTATTTCTTCATTTCTTAGGAAGCTTAGTGAAGAAAGAGCCCTAAGACACATGCCATGATACTTGACCTCTATGCTAGCTTTGAAAACTGTTTTGACAAATTTCCATTTTTCTCTCCATCTTGGTTTTCTTCCTATGGGGGTCATGAATGCTCACAACTTCTGAGCCCTATTGTTTCTTAATCTCCTTTTAGAGGACACATCATGCTGTTACTTTTATGCAGCAGACAGGCAGGGGACAGAATCCACACTCAGGGCCCAAATTCTGTACTCAATGCCCAGAGTGATTCCTGAGTTCATCACTTCGTTGCATGTTTAGCACTGATAATGATCCCTGATGTCAAGGCCACATAACAATATGACTTCTAGAAACAGTTCTCAGATCTCAGTCACTTGTTTGGGAAGTGGTGAGGAGTCTACAGTTTAGTTTCCTATTTTTCCTGCATATAAAGGAAAAGGCCACAAGATTAAATTGTGGGCTCCAGCCTTATATCCTGCTTTTCTGTCTGGGCCCAGAAGACCTGTAAAAGTTTCTCTCCACCCCACTTCAGCCTTTTTAGGTCTTCTGTTCACTCAGTTCCTATGCAGGTGCCTCTGGTGCCAGCATCCCAAGGGGGATGAGGATAGTCATTTCCAACAAGATTCTGGTCCTTAGGAAGGTCCATGTCAAAGATCCAAAGCCAAGCTTGGCTTTATGCACCTCAAACCTGACCTGGCATCAAGCCCAAGTCTATAGTTTTACAAAGGATAAAGCGATTATTTGATTATCCCAGGAAATAGTCACTGTCCTACTGGGAAGAATTCTTCGGATTTCTTAAGGATTACTTACAGCAAAAAGTGTCATATATTGTTACATATTTCTGACAGCCCGAAAAGCTGTTCCACTTTTCCCTGACCAGCGCAATTGCATTCTTCATATTCTGAGAAAGACCCAGTAAGGACAAAGGAATTAGCTAAGATAATTCAGCAAGTCACTGGTACCTATAGTCTTTTTTTTGGTACCGGGAATCAAACTGATGACTTTGCATTTGCCAAGCAGGCATTTATGCCGCTGAACTAAACCCCCAGCCCCCTTATATATAGTCTTGATTTCACCTCTAGCATGTCCTTTCCATTGTACCCTGATCCTATAAGCCCTTCCCAACACACCCTACTATTTTACTACTTTCAGCATCAAATTAGACTTTGCTTTCATTCTTTCATGTTTCTGAGAAAAACTCAGCCAGTCCAGTTTGCGTAAAAACCATAGACTGATTATTTTACTCTGCCATTTTTGTGGATGATCTTTGAGACTCATTGGAGGAGGAACTCTAGATTTGAAATGAGAGGATATCCCTGAAGTCATGGTAGACTGTCAGAGAAAAGGCTGACATTTCAAATAGAAAACACAAATTATCTACAAGACGGATAGCTGTAGTGTGTATGCATTCTTCCTTTGAACAACAGCACCTTGCTTCTTCTGAAGAACTGTTGCTTTGTTTCTGCCATCAACTTAGGAATGTAAGGAGAACTATTAATTATGAAACCCTGCATCCTTTTATAGTAGAGTGTGTGCATGTCTGCGTGTGTGTGTATGCGTGCGCCCGTGTACATACGTATATGTGCATGTGTGCATACGTGCATGTGCGTGCGTGCGTGCGTGCGTGTGTGTGTGTGTGTGTGTGTGTGTGTGTGTGTGTTTCTGTGACTCTGGTCAGCAATCCTGAAGCCCTCTGGTTTACTAAGCAACAGAAGGAAGAAGAATGTCCCTCCTTTGGCTAAAGATGGTTGTATATGATCTGGCGGTTCCAGAATCTATGGTTTGTCTTATAAGTAGATGAAGTATCTGAGAAAAATGAGCATAGGACACTAAGAGAAAAAGAAAAATGGCAAAGGAAGGAAGACTCTGAAACTACCAGCTGGTGTGTCCTGCTCCTTAATGTTTGGAACAGCTGTTCCTATACACCCTTGCAACCATTCGATTATAAGCTAATAAACTGGCCTTTTGTCTAAGTTAGTCAAGATTTGTCCCTGTCTGTAATGGCTGGTCTAGAGGTCCCCTAAAGCCTCAAGTAATCATAGATGGGGCTAGCTACTCTAAAGTAGCTAGACCTACAGTGTGTGGTGTGGAATCAAGGGTATGTGATTACTAATTAGTGCGCTGATTGGTTTAGCATAGATCTGGAGAGGATTAAGGGTGCCCCAGCCAGGGTGAGAGCGCTACCTGCCCTAAGGGCAAGTACTCTAGATGAAATGCAAAAGGCAGAGAGAGGGTAGCTGTGGTTATTGCTTGCTGCTGCTTCACTACTTTTGGTTTTTCTGCCTTCTGTGCACCATAACTTGTTTCTTCTCCGTGATATCTCTCTGCCTGCTGTCCTGCCTTGGAGCCAGCTAACTCTGGACTGAAACCTCTATCAACTCTGAGCTACAGTAAACCTTCCTTCTTTTAACTTTGGGTGTTAACTATTTTGTCTCAGCAATAAGAGTAAGACAGAATTTGGTACCTGACTAGGGTTATTGCTGTGACATTACCTGGCCACGTGGCTTATGAGTCTTTGGAACTAGCTTGTGGGAAGAGTTTTAAAACATTTGGAAATGCTGGCTGAAGAGACAGCCCTGGAATACCTTAAGCTATACTTGATGGGAGATTCTGCTCAGAACTCAGAAAACCAGAATGCTGATAGAAATGCTATTGGAAAAGACTATGCTCAAGAGATTTCTGCTATGAAGAAGGACTACATTGGCTGTTGGACTCCAGTTCATGTATGTTATACCTTGGCAGAAAGTTTTTCTACTGTTGATTATGTCCAGAGGCTTTGTTTGCAGCTGAGATTAAGGGCAGAAAAATAATTAATCTTGGGGAAGAAATTTCAAGACAGTCTAATAGTGAGGCAGTGGCATGGCTATTATTAGGGGCAGTTAACCAGAACTATGTTGAGAATTGAGAGTAAAGAGCCTAACAGAATCATTTAAAATGTTTTGAATTTGATCAGAAAGGAAGCTGCAGTAAAGCTATAAGCTGCAAAGATACAGCAGAAGAGAACTTGGTTGCTAAGAAGGAACAGAACAATGTAAAATAAGGCCTAATTGACCTCATAAGCAGGTGAAAGAATTTGCTTTGAGAAGAGTGCCCCAGAACATCATGTGCCAGAATAGTGGTAGAGAATCTGTTCCTTAGAACTGGACTCAGAGTTCTCAGCAACCCAAGAACTCAACCTCTGTAACCAGGAGAAAAGGAAGCCTAGCTTACTGCTCCAGCTGGCAGCAAACCTTGGCATCATCCACATGGTGCTGGGTTCAGGTGCATGCAGAATGCAAGAGTTGTGGGCTCAGGATGGCTTCCATCCAGATTTCAGAAGGCTTGGGAGACCAGGAAATGTGTCTCTGAGAACTGTTTGTCAAGTTGTGTGAAGTCGAGGGTGAAGCCATGCCCTTGGTCATGATTAAAATTTTACATCTGGTTTTGGTCCTTGCCATGTATTTACTGATAATTTTGGATAGGAAAACTCTGTTGGGGTCCATTTTGTGGCCTGTCTTTCTGTCCACAACACAGTGGCGTTTGCCTACTTCCTCACCATCTCTGGCACTGTACCTGCATTTTGGACTTGCTGTTGATATAAATAGAATTATCGATGTAGGTTGTTGTGCTTGCCACACATTGGCTTTTGAAAAGGAAAAATGCTCTGGGAACCACCTTATGTTTACCTTATACACAACAGACGTGCTCTTGTTCTCTACCTAGATACTTGCCTGGTATTTTATTTACATATTGGCTATGCTTTTGATCTAGAACAGCATCTTCTACCCAGTTATGATAATCATCCTCTACATGCTATAAATCACAATACAATAATTGTCTTTTATTATCTTCTTTTATGTGCATGAGTGAATGTTGCTTGTCTTCTATCTGGATATTCTGGTCAGATATTCTCATCACATGTTGACAATGTTGATTATATATTCATTTTTAGTCATGACATTGCAATCTACTTGTTTCATTTAGATCTAAAACTGCTTTGGAATCCAGATTGATGTTTGCCTTTTTGTCCTAAATAGTGTTTGGATTCTTATCTATTTGGAAATTAGTATGGTCCATTAGGTAACTGGCCTGGCTACTTCCCTGGTAACTATAATAAGAATGTTTAGGCTCTATTATCAACAAAATTTCATCTCAGCTCTTACCTTTCACCATTTCCTCATGAGTTCCCTGAGGTTCCTACGACTGTGGTTGTGAGTAGAGAAGGCTCATTATTGTCAAGGAGAAGCTATGCCAGAAACGCCCTTTCCTTGCCCTCACAGGACATCCATCAACCAGGAAGACCCCGCCACTCACCACTCAGTCTCCTCCCAGCCGCTTGGTTCTCCAACATGAGGAGCAGGGAAAGGATGAAGAAGATAGTGGACTTCATCTTGCCAGGAAGGAACTTGACTGAGAGCTGAGCTGAGCTTCTCATTTATACCTTCCTTGATTGGGCGTGTCATGGGTGTGGCTGATGTTACAAAAGGCATTGCCCTTTCTGCTTTATCTGTAAATGCTGACATTTTCCCCTTGCTCCGTAGGGGGCATCACCAATCTCTCTGGAACTTTATATAGGCATATGATGTCAGAGACTTACTTCTGCTGCCACAAGCCCCAAGAAACATTCACAATCACTTACAGTTCATCACAAAGTTTCCTGCATTTTGAAAAAAAAATTAGCACAGAGTAGGGAAGAGATTCATTGCAAAGCATACAATTTAATTGGTGGGTTTTTGAGTTCTCATACTCTAAAAGTGTGGTGTTTCTTGATGCCAAAGTTTAAATGCTGCCAGATACAACTTTGTACTTCAATCTATTTCAGAATGAGTGAAATATGTACTATTATAGATGAGAAGCAGCAATCATAGAGATATGTCACAGAAAAGAGTGCAAATTTATGGAAGCCAAATTGTTTCAGAACAAAATATAGCAAATCAATGTCAAAAGTAGTATAAAGTTCATGACAACATATGCTCACATATGCCCAAAGCTCATCAAATGTGAACTTCTCTTACTGATTTTGATGAGGAAAGATCAATATATCTGAGTTATGTTCCCACTTGGAGAATGGAAAACAGCAACATTTTCAAGGAGTCTGCAAGTATAAGACAGTAAGAGCTGAGGCTGGACCTGGAACATGAGGTGAGCTATAGCGATGTTTTTTAAGGGATGGGAGGAATTTAATGTGCTTCAGTGATGATAGGAATGACTGCTGGAGAACAGGAATGTTAGTTTCCTTATTGGGCTTTTTCATGAAATCCACTAAAACAGCAAAGTACTTTTTTAATTGAAAATTTTCCTAAGGAAGTTTTAAAAAGCTACAACTCCTAATAAACATTAAGAAATAATTGCCACTGCTGATGAATCTATTAATATATTAAAAGGAGATACAAGTGAAAATACACACTTTTACACATATATATACCTTTTTGGTATACCAGATATATATATATAAATATGCCAGATATACCAGATATAGATATAGATATAGATATAGATATAGATATAGATATAGATATAGATATAGATACTATGTAAAATTGTAGATGTACATTTTTGGGAATACTCTGAATGGGCCAAAAGATTCTTTTAGTTTGACATATGCTGTTATGGCTTGTATCTAAATACTTTTCAAACACTTATGCTGACATAGGTCGGGTTTTCAGAGATAGCTGGATCTAGAATATGTGATTTTGGGATTAAAAATGTGATGCTGGGACTGATTCAGGGTGTGATGCTAGGATTCAGGGTGCCCCACACTGGTGTGAGTACTACTCTAAAGGCAGGTAGCCTGGATAGATTATAAGCAACAGAAAGAGGGCTGCTATTGCCTCTTGCAACTTGCTACTTACTACTTTACAGATTTGCTGTCTTTTGTCCACCACACTCTATTTCTTCTCTGAAATGCCCCTCCGCCGTACTATCCTGCCTTGGGGCCAGGAGACTATGGACTGAAACCTCTACAATCTGTGAGCCAAAATAAAACTTTCTTTCTTTAACTTTGGGTATCAGGAATTTTGCTTCAGCAATGAGAAAAGTAACTAAGACATATGCATTCGTTGCCATAAACTGACCACAAAAGAGACTGTTTCCACTGTGAGCCTCTAGATACTTATAACAACAAGGACTGTGATTCTGGAATGAAGAGGACCTGAAAATGTATTTTAAATAATTCTGTTCTAAAATCCCAAACTGCCATAGGGAATGGTGTCTGGAAGGGGAAAGAGAAAGAATACCCTTATTTTTAATAGGAAGAACATAGATACAAATACAAAATCATCAAACAGAAGCCATGAAAGCTGCGTGGCATCACTCTGAGTCTAATCTCCCACCTACACAATCTTTTTGTCCCCAAAGCAGCAATTATTTGTCTCCAACAGAGACTGTGGGGAGAAAGCTAAAATTATCTTAAATGGAAACTTCCTACAGTGTCTCCTAATCTCATCAATTCTCCTCACATGTCTCTCCAGAAAATACCAGGAACAATTCAATTCAAAGCTTCAGAGTATAAGTAAGAATCTGATAACACAGGGCTTCCTTATGAATTAAAGAACAGAACCTTTTTCCCATCCACCATATCACAGATACAGAGAAAACAAAAGGATCAAGATATGTGTCTAAAACACAAAAAGGGAAAGCAGAAAAAGGAAAGCTAAAGATAGGATGAGATATAATTTGATATCAGAACAGGATTTAATGAAGTTTGAAAAGTACTTCAAACTAAAAAGAGACTTTATGCATTAATAAAGATGAAAGCAGAAATCAGTGACTTGAAAAACAGAGAATGAATTATGAATAAATCCTAGATATGCTGTCTTAATGGCAGAAGGAAAAGTCATCCTGGAACAAAGAAGGAAAAAATACTTGAAAAATAATACAGTGCACAAAGTTAGCAAACCCTGGGAAAATGAGATCTTGAGAGCACCAAAAAGGAGAACTTAAAAGTATATTTACTGTATTCTATCCACAATTCTTTGACAACACTGAAAATATAACAAAAAAGTACTACAACTTTCTTAAAATAAAAAACATAGACTAGAACTATCAAAAGTTGCTTTAAATCTTCTGTAGCCTTGAAAGTGTAGACCAAGGTGATACAATATGGAACAATAACATGACATAAAACATAGCAGAGAACTCATGCAGGAAGTTCCTTAAGACTCTGGAGAAATGTTTTGGAGGAAGTTGGACTCCATATCTAGAGTTTAAGAGCAGGACAGGAAAAAAAGGACACTTATCAGAATGACAATTTGGATCATATAGGATCATCCAACCTGCCCCTGTTTATGACGTGTATTTAAAATTGGTCTGGTCCATGCTTACTTTGGCAGCACAAATACAACAACTGATCTGGTGTCCAAGTTAAAGCAGTAACAGTCAGGTGGCTACTGAAAGCTGGGAAAGCCCTAGGTAGCAACGGAAGCCCATGAAGCCTTGGGAGCCTTTATTGTTAGAAATCATGCTGGTGATACCCTCTCCAGTAAGCCATAGTCTCTGTCTTTCCTACTCAACCAACGTGTGCCTCAGTAAGCTGAAAACTTCTACAACTGGTGCAGAGTTAATTGCAACTTTTCAAATGCAATAACAAAATTTACTGTGCAACTGTCAGGAAGAGCATTTACATCACTGTCCAACATCACTACTGTCTATGTCCATAGTTTCTTCTGCACAAATTAAAACTCTATGTCCATTAAATAGCACCAGCACATTATCCACCTGGCCCCAGACTCACATGACCCTTATGCTAGTATCTATCTCAGGAACTTGATTTTTCTGGCTGGCTCATGTAAGTGGAAGCATACAGTATTTTTCCTTTGAGCTGTCTTCTCTTTAGTATGATGTTCATAATCTCACTTTGATTAGGCATCTCAAAGAACTCACATGGAAGAGGAGCAACTTGATAGAAAACATGAAGTAGTATCTTCAGCTGAGCCACACATACGTGCTTTGTGAATCACCACTGGCAGAAATTTTTACCAGCAGAGATCATAGAGGTTGAAAATTTCACAGATGGTATGGGTAACTGTTTCCTACCAGTGAGTAAACCATGTGGACATTTCAGAGCAGAAGGCAGCTGTGCACGTGAACATGGTACAGGAAAGCTTTCGTTACTAGGGAAACAAAAGTGAATCACAGTATTAAAATAAAAATAATTAATTATTAAAATTAAAAATAATTTTAAATTAAAATTTATGCAGAGATCCATGCAATCAGTACACATGCTATCAAAATAAGGTAAGTGTGAGTCAAACAATCAGGATATCTGCCACCCCCAAGGCCCTCTGGCATCTTAGCAGAGCATCTGTGGGCTCACTGTTAGCATGGAGGAGCTCCATGGAGACCAGCACTGAACTGTGATTCTGCATTCAGTGCTCTACGTCTTCTAACGGGGATTCAGATTTCCTAGTTATCATTTGAAATACTCAAATCCCTTACAGTTTCCTGGATCCAAAACTGACTCTTGCTAGGACTCCATGAGGTGCTGTGCTTCCCAGTGAAGGTCACTGCTGATTGTCAGCTTGACTAGACTGAGGGATACCCAGGAGAGTATTAAAGCACACTTCTGGGTGTGTCTGTGTGGGTCACGAGAGCATGAACTGTAGCCATACATCTTGTTTCAGGTCTTTTTCTCTCTCATTGCAGGCCTCGTGTTGGCCTTTTGACCATTCTCTGTATTCCTGGGTCAACAGGATTTGGCCTGAACCAGAAACCAGAAACCAAGACAACAGTAGTAATTCCAGGGCAATCAAATGACTCATGGCACAGGGTCATTCAAAGAAGAACGGAGAACTGGGGAGAGGTGAAGAAGAAAGAAACTCAAGTATAAACAGTCTAACACATGCCGATTTGGCCTCCATCACGGTCCATTCGCAAATCCAGTAGAAAGAGGTTGACTCGAGATGCCCTGTGCCTTTCCTCTGTACATCTGCAGTGCGTGCTCTCCTCTCCACTAGCTCTGGCCTGGCCTCTCTGAACGCTGTACAGGTTAAAACTTGGGATGAGACTTTTTTGATTGAATTAACAGACCAGTTACTTAGGCAGTATGCTCTCTCACCCTTGTAATGTTTGTTTGTACCTGTGCTTAGATAAACTGAAATATTCACTGTGAGCCTTGACTATTATAATTCTCTGCTGCACATTAGAGACACAGAGCAGATGGGTGTCTTGGGCCTTGCCTCCAAAATGCCCAGGTAGGTGACACCTAACAGCCACATCCCTTGTCCATCTTCTTTGTTCCTGGGACATTTGTTCAGTGTAGAAACCAGAAGTGAGGAAAAAAACAAAGCTGCAGTTGCCTCAGGATTTCTTTTTCCTGTTTCAGTGCTGACAGCTCCATTGTATATGTATTTAAAGTCTTTTTTCCTTTTTGTGTTAATTTCATTAGCTACTCTTGTGTGCATTTTGAAAACCTTTTGGCAGTACACTTTTGAGTTACCAATTCAATATACTGTTTTCTGTTCTCAACCTTGTGAATCTGTGTTTGTCCTATTATTGATTTCCTTTTATTTATTCTGTACTTTTCATGCCTTTCCACAGTAAATAATTAGTTCATTCATTTTTATATTTCATTTTTATTGACGCGTATATTTAAGGCTATGGGACTTTTTTTGGTTTTTTATATGTTGGCTTATTTTATGCCCTTTGGTCTGCCTTTCTTGGCCTGCCCTTCTGTTACAAAACCTCCCATCCTTACTGTGCTTCTCTCTTACTCTCCTTGCATTTCCTACACTTTCTAAACCATAAAGTTATCTGCTGTAATATATGGTCCTTATCTAGGTTAAGTCATGTCCCTACTGAGAACTATAGCTTTCAGCATTCAAATATTTCCCTCTATTTCAACAAGTAACAATGCAAAAATATACAATAAACATGACTGAGTCTACACTGTATATATCTTTCTTACAACTTTTGAACCCAGGGCCTCATACATCCTAGGCACTGAGCTACATTCCTAATCCTACAATTGGACAATTGGGTAAGTACATAGAGGGAACTAGACAAATTTCCTTTACAGGATAATTATAAACATTTCAGATACTTCACATTTAAGGAGTGCTGCATCTTCATTATGGTTAAACTTGGGGACTTCTTTCCTTAGAGTACAATATGGAAGGATAAGTGAGAAGGGTGACTTTAATGTGCAGTAATCTGACAGGCACCACCCTAGGGGGGTGTTCCGTATTATCATCATCAGTGTGAACTCACAGTAATACAGGTACCATGAACATAATGTGATGAGACTAAGGGTCTTTCTCCAAAATCCCATTATCCCAGTCTACTGTGGAGAAAAAGGTCAAATTCCAACAGAGGGATATTCTATAAAATACCTAACCAGTGCTGCTCACAATAGTCAAAGGCATCAAAAACTAAGAAAGTCTAAAACACAATCAGAGTCAAGGAAGAACCTAAGGAAACATGACAACTCAGAGTACTGGGATATTCCTGGATGGGATCCTAAAGTGAAAAGACATTAAGTAAAAAGTAGGCAATGTAAGTAAAACATGGGTGTTAACAGTAATTATGCGCTAATGTTCACTTACTGGTGGTAATAGATGTGCTCTGGTTGTATAAAGTGTGAACACTAGAACGGTGCTGGTACTGGGTCACAGCAACTCCAGCACATGCGCTGATCCACCAGGACTCTACCACTATTTCACACTTACTAAGCACATTTCCAAGTCCACTGAAAGTTGTTTTTGTGTGTAAAACTTCATTGTGCTCAGATTTCCAATTCTTCTGAAGGAATGATATTTATGATCTTTTTTTTTTTGATCTTGTGAGTTGTACAGTTTTGGAGGAAATATATTGAGAGATTTGCACTGAAAAGGATACCAGGATCCTAGTTACCCTTGAATCTAAAACCCTCCATTGAGAAATACGTCTCAAGAATAATAAAACTGAGGCTGATGCAGAAGGATTACTGTAAGTTCAAGTCCAGCTTGGGCTGTAAGGTGAGTTCAAAGCCAGCCTGAACTGCATAGTGAAACCCTGTCTCAAAAAGGTAAATAAATAAATAAGTGAATAAAACTGTGATTTTATAAACATTGAAAATATTTTCAAGGTAAGAATATTACATATGCAAAATAGAACAATTGTTAATAGCTCACCAAAAATATTTACTACATTTATGAGAGCAAATGATGAATTTTTGTTATACAAGAAACACTCATAATTCAATTAAAATAATCTGGACAACCCAATAGAAAAAGCAGCAGAAGGTGTGAAAGGTAGGTCAGAGGAATCAAAGAAAAGAACAAATCGCACCAGAGTTGCTGTGACAGCTGTCCTGTCCACTGATCATTATACACAAGGTCAGACATCACTGAGATTCTACTTCTTTTCCCATATCACACTGGATTTTCTAACAACTTTAGGAAAATTCTTTCCCATTTCAGGGCCTCAGTTTTATCAGCTGTAACATGAAGGAGCTGAACAGACTATTTCTAAGGCATATTTTCGTTCCTTTCACAATGAAAGAGGCTCAAAGATTCTATAACATTTCTTCTCTCAAATGTATGAGATAAAGACAGAACACGCACAGGGCTGAGAAAATCAGAACGAAACATCGAAAGCATGCTGAAGATGCCCCTGAGATGGACTGATTCCCAGATCCATAGACGATCGCCTTAGCCATCTGCATTTTCCCCGATTTACTTTTTTCTGCCTTCACACTTTGCCTTGTGGTATTCAACTACTCTGAAATGTCTATCGCAATCCTATGGATCATTTGTCATGGCCCAGATAAATTGAACTCACCCAAAGGACATCATCAAGAAATTAGCTCTCTATCATATGGTCTCCCTAGTGAGTAAAAAAATAATAAATAAAATGCTGAAAGAATAAAATCCAAAACGTACAATAGATATTATACATAGTGAAAGGGAAAGAATGTGATAGAAAGGAAAGAACAAGAGGGAGATAAGGGAAGAGAAAAAAGGAAGAAAGGAAAAATTATATGTATGTTGGTAAACATATATAAAAGTATGTATATATATATTAGTATGCAAGATAGATTACTATCAACCTATGTTAATTCATCAAAAGAGAAGTTTGTGCTGTCATTGTTGAGTTATTTTTGTGCCTAGATCTTGTAACCTGAACAACTATTTCTAAGATAACAATATGCCATATATTAACTAGTGTTAATTTCCTACTTTTTTAAAAGTTCTGTATCATTTCTATTCTTTTTCTATGTTTTGTTTTTTAAAATAAAATTTTAAAAAAGAAACTAGTTCTGTATCTTAATTCCAGGCTCCACCCTGCCACAGAGCACTCTGGGGATGTAGTTATCTCTTCCTAGATGAAATGAGTTGCTTCCCAATAGTCTCAGAGTGTACTGCCTGCTTTATGTAAGTTGGAAGGCTCTGTGATTAGGGTAAATGCCAAGAACTGATAAACACTGGAAGGCTGTTTTTATCTCTTACCATATCTCTATTGCCTGATAACGAACTCCAGGAGGGCTGACACATGTGACTGGGTGGAAGATAATCTCCCTGCCAATTATAAATAGGCAAGATGATATGGATGAGCAGTGATTACTCTACTTTTTTTTTTTTTGTCTTAGTGATGACTATGGATCCTCATAGATGAATAGGGTGCTTCTTCCAGGGCACCAGGATCCTGGTGCAGGTTACCTGGTTGAATCTAGTATGAAAGAAAGACATGGAGGTATAGAATATTTATTTCCTACTGTCACTGAATGTTTGATATCTGCTGTGCCTACCAGGTTCCTATAACCCAAATAGCTCTTTAGCTAATGCATTTGTGCCAATCAGACCCCAAATGTGTAACAATTCTTCTGCTTCTGAGCTCCTCCCCAAGTTACCTGCGTAGTCACACATGCCCTTAAAAAAACACGAGAAGATTTAGTTTAGAGGAGCTTAGAAATCCATATGCTCTCCTTTTATGTTACTGATGGTGTTATGGGTTCACAAAAAGCAACAAAGTTGTACATATTAGTTGGAAATAGGACTTAGGTCTATAAAATGGTACAGTACTGTCTATTTCTGAAATCTCAAAGGAAAGTAGAACATATCTGGAAGAAATAGGAGATGAACAGTAACTGAATGAGGATAAAGTGACTCTCTTCAACGTCCACGTACACTGTGTC